TCCCACAGAAGTTGGGGCTTTGTGTTGTTGTTGTCATTTGTTTCTATATATTCCTTGATCTCTATTTTGATTTGTTCATTGATCCATTGATTATTTAGAAGCATGTTGTTAAGCCTCCATGTGTTTGTGAGCCTTTTTGTTTTCTTTGTAGAATTTATTTCTAGTTTTATACCTTTGTGGTCTGAAAAATTGGTTGGTAGAATTTCAGTATTTTGGAATTTACTGAGGCTCTTTTTGTGAGCTAGTATGTGGTCTATTCTGGAGAATGTTCCATGTGCACTTGAGAAGAATGTATATCCTGTTGTTTTTGGATGTAGACTTCTATAGATGTCTATTAGGTCCATCTGTTCTAGTGTGTTGTTCAGTTCCTGTGTATCCTTACTTATTTTCTGCCCGCTGGATCTATCCTTTGGGGCGAGTGGTGTATTGAAGTTTCCTAAAATGAATGCATTGCAGTCTATTTCCCTCTTTAGTTCTGTTAGTATTTGTTTCACAAATGCTGGTGCTCCTGTGTTGGGTGATATCCTCTTGTTGGACTGAGCCCTTTATCATTATGTAGTGTCCTTTATCTCTTGTTACTTTCTTTGTTTTGAAGTCTATTTTGTCTGATATTAATACTGCAACCCCTGCTTTCTTCTCACTGTTGTTTGCCTGAAATATATTTTTCCATCCCTTGACTTTTAGTCTGTGCTTGTCTTTGGGTTTGAGGTGAGTTTCTTGTGAGTAGTATATAGATGCATCTTGCTTTTTTATCTATCTGAATATTTTTATGATTCCATTTCACCTCCTTTTATCAGTCTCAAAAAATCTTTAGCATCAGCATTTACCTGGTTGCTCAAGTCAGAAGCCCAGGATTATTTTTAATGTCTTTTTCCCTCATATGTTTTATATATATATACTAAATGTTTAGTATATATATATATACTAAATTCTTTATTTCCGATTCTCACATCTTGGTTGTTTGTATTCATGTGCTTGTCCCTCACCTATATATTTGTGGTCACTTCTTTATTGGTCTTCTGTTTCCATACTTCAGAGTGATTTAAGATTCAAGTCAGATATAAAGTTTTCAGTGTTCACCCAGTGCCTCTGCTATATGGAAACTATGTAAGTTGTCTAGATAAAGGTCTTAATATTTTTATTATTTTCATCACCCAGCCTTACCTATTCAACCCATCTCTTTTCAACATTCCACCTAGTATTTTACATTCTAGCAATACAGATCTACTTACTGGCCAAATATATAGTGTGCCTTCTCCAGCCTATGTGCCTTTCGATCAATTGGAAATTGTCCTTTAAGTCTTAACACCTCCTCTATGAAGCCTTCTTTAGTTATCTTTGGTTGAATTACAATTTCCTTCCTCCCTGATTTCATTTAACTTTCTGTATTCCTCACTAGAGTGAATTATACATAATTGAAATTGTTCATCTGTTTCTCCATTCCTTCCTAATAATAGTAGCTCCTAAGGTTAAAGGCATCTTCATCCTTGATAACAATAAACATTTGTTGAATGAAAGAATAATCAGATACTAACAGAGGCTTGTAGATGGTATTCAGTTTGGTCTATCATCATGTGATTTATAACTTTCCTTTTGTTATTCATTCAGCACATATTTACTGTATGTCAAATATGCAGCAGTCACAATGGGGGAGTCCAGTACGATTTGACCCTTGCCCTCGTGGACCATACACTTTTAACAGTAAGACCTGATGTATACAATTTCAAAAAATATTTTTTCAGTAATCGCCTTTTTATGACTTAGTAGTCCTTTGCAGGCATACACTCAATAAAAATGGAAAATTTGGTGTGGACTAGGGAAAGTGTTTTCTGAGATGACACATTTCCTTTTGGATAAAAAGAAAAAATTGAGTTTTATATTATTAAAATTTGATTTTAAAGCATAGGACATGGAGAAAATGTACATATTTTTTCTTTTCTAAAGGAGAGAATAAAACTTACTTACCAAGAAAAGAGTGAAATCCTGGAATCCCAGTTGAAGTTTTTGAGGTAAAGTATTATCATCCTTTTAAAGTCATAGCAAAAGCATAATGATCTTAAAATATATTTGAATGTTTGCTGAAATGCCAGTTTTAGTCAATGTAAGAATTACCTGATGACACTTTTTAGGCAATATATGAAATTTCCTATAGGTAAAGGGGATAAAATGGCCCAAACATCCAGTTATAAAATAAATTAGCCATGGAGATGAAAGTACAGCATAGAAAATATCAGTAGTAATACTGTAATATCTTTTTATGTTGACAGATGGCAACTACACTTGTGGTGAGCCTTTAGAAATGCATATAATCATTGAATCACTATGTTGTATACCTGAAACCAATATAATATTATAAATCAACTATATTTCAATTAAAAAAATACCAACGTTATGGGCACTTAAGACTAAATTAAATCACATATGTAATATTATTTTTACAATGTCTGGTACTCAATGCTCAGTGTCAACTGATTGCTAACTAAAAATAAAAAGAGATGTCCTCAGATTATTAAAGGATAAGGGGGCATAAAATTGTGAAGTCCTTTTCCAAATCCCATTTCAAAGACTTGAGATAAATTATAAGTTTTATGCCTTATCAGTTGTACATATTTGTGTTTTCTTATATACATAAGAATCACTGGCTGCTCTTAGAGAAATTATACTGTTAAAATAAGTAGTGAAAATAAAGCACTCTAGTTTTCATATTATAAGCAAATATTTTTTCTCTTTAGGTATTACCCATCTAATTATAAAATTGCAACAATCATATAAGTTGGAGTATTTTTGCAAACATGATAAATTTAAGTACAGTCATCCTCCCTTATCTGCAGGGGACATGTTTCAAGACTCCCAGTGGCTGCCTGAAACTGGTGATAGTACTGAGCCCTATATAAACCGCTTTTTCCTATATATACATACCTGTGATAAAGTTTAATTTATAAATTTGGCATACTGAGAGATTAACAATAACTAAAGTAAAATAGAACAATCATAACCATACACTGTAATAAAAGTTATGTGAATGTGGTATTTATGGTACTGCACTCATGCCTCATCTTGTGATGATGTGAGATGATAAAGTGCATGCGTGCTGAGATGAAGTGAAGTGAATGATGTAGGCATTAGGATGTCTTGTAAGGCCGCCATGGGCCTTCTGAAGATCCACCAGAAAGGAGCATCATCTGCTTCGGAACCACAGTCCCCTGTGGGTAATTGAAATCAGGGAATGAAATTGCAGATAAGAGGGGACTGCTATATACATATAGTGTGTTTTCATATACTTTTTGATATATTTTTTTTAATTCCCATGAAACCTTTCTATTATAGATTAGCCATTAGTGATTTATTATGTATTATGAATAGGAAAAGATGACAGGAATTAATTCTTTGTTTATTAAACATCATTTTAGATAGTAGTAATGAAATACTTTCAAATCAAATAAACTTTAAAATAGTTTTTACAACTTTAGTTAGTCCAACTTGAAATAAAATTTAAATAGTTAAGGCCATATATTGTGTAGAGACATAACTAGAATAATACAAAGTACCAGAACTTGTGGCTTTCACTGAACATGTTATTGTTCATTTACTTCACATTGCTCTATGCTTTTCATACTTCATCCTGATGAGTGAAAGAAAATTACTACTCTCAGAAACTCTGGCTTTATGGCACCCCTTTCTTTTATATTTTCTTTTTTGCTACTTCAAGTAACCAAATTTACCTGAGCATTTTTAATTTGAAGCTGACAAAAATTATAATGGAGACTCTTTGACTCTTTTTCAAAGTCCTTGAAAGTCAGGTTTTTCTATATATGATACTTAAAAGAAACTTTATTATGTTAGAGATACTATCTTAGGAATGGAGCAAAAATAGCTCCTTTTTTTTCAACTTCATTAGATTAGCTCTTTTTTTAACCCTTAGGTTACCTGTTGACCTTTTCCACCTCTTCTGGGCTCCTGAAAATCCCCCAAATACCAAGAATTCAAGTAATCTGGGTCAGCCCAGTGTCTTGACTATTGACTTCTTCTCTGTGACAGTGGGCAAGTTAGGATAGTGTTAGATCTCTGAGTATAGTAGCAGCTGACAACAAGAGTAGACTGAACTAGAGGTAATATGCCTGCCTTCAGTAGTCCAAAAATTTAAAAGCAATTTTCTATTTTTAAAGTTAGGTCTTTATATATGTATGTATGTGTGTGTGTGTATAAATATATACACAGTAGGAAAGGTATGTCTATGCAAGGAAGCTCATTTTCCCAAGTTGACTTTACCAAAGCTTTACTGGGGAGAGGTGGAAAACCCAGTCCATACAATGGTCATTTTATCCTTACAAAGTCAAGTTGGAGAAAAACCTCAAGCAGGGACTATCCTATAAATAAAAACAAAGTATGCACACACACATACACACACACACACAAATACACAAATTCCCAGCCCTTTCTTTAGCAAACTGTGTATTTCCAGCCCATAGCTGCTACATACAAAATCCTATGATTGGCAGATTCTGTATGACTTATTTTTGTAGCCCATGCTTTTTTGAAAAAGCTCCTTATAGAACTTTGCGGTTAGATCATTTTTTAATGTTTTTTTCCTCCTGAAGAAAAATGGGTAAAATGAATTACTCATGGGTAAAATCCATGTCCTTTACATAATCTTTTAAGATACTCTACAAATTTTAAGGAGTTAACACTTGAAATAAGGTCTTTCCCTCAATTCAAAGATGTTGTGTTTTGCCACCCCACCTCTTTGTTAATAAATAGAAACTGTTCTTCGGCAATCCAATCTGGAGAGATCTCCCTGCATGCTAGGTGAGACCTCAAGCTGGGAGAGGGTTCTTGACTCTGGTCAAGAAAGAATTTGCAAACAGGTTGAATGAGTATAAGTAAGGAAGGAATTCATAGCAAATGGCAGCAGCTATGCAGACAGTAGAGAGCAAGAAGAAACAGGGAAGTTTAGTTCATTGACTCCTGCTCAGCATAGGGCAAATCCCTTGCCAACTCCAAAAGCCATGGTCATTGGGCATCCAGTGTCCACTTGAATCTGCATGGCATGGGAACTAAGTCCCCACCATCCCAGAATTTGGCGGAGCCACTGATCACTAGATGGAGTGAGATTATGTTCTGAGAACTTCCCAAAGCAAAGAAAGATTTTTTTTGTTCAGACTGCTAAAGAACATGATCACATAGCCACAGTCCCATCTGAGTCACCCAGATGACAGGAACTTGCAAGCCCAAATCAGAGATGCCAGTAGCCCTTCCCTGCTTGTCTGAAGTAGAACAGAAAGAGAGAAGACTTGTGCTTAATTGAATGAATGAGCAAAGGGACAAACACAGTTACCAGTGGAGGTGGAGATCAGTGAGTTCTTGTCTTTATCATGAAAAAACAGTTCAGAGATGAAGTGAAATAGGCTTATGTGACAAGAAAGTTTACTTGGTAAGACAGTACATAGACAGGAGTGCAGGAGACCTCAGAGGGGAGGTGCACTTAAAAGTTTAGAATTTAGGTTCTTAAGGATTTCAAGAATGGGAAAAAGGGCCAGGGGAAAGTAGGCTGATGTGTGGTCTCATGATGTCTGTCTTCAGTTAGAGACATTATGTCACCATCCACAGTTAGTCCTCTAGATATTCTGTAAGGTAAACTTTACACAAGGCATCTGTTGATCCTGTTCTTCTCCATGATAGTGATTATCCTCAAGCAGTGGAAACATATCATTTAGAACTTGCCTGCTCTGCCTTAAGATTGGCTAATCACCATAAAATGTTCGGAATCTTGCCTCCTAACTCCATTTTTTAAAATGGAATTTTAGTCTTAAGATGGAGTCTCTCCTGTTCTTACCTTACTTTTATAACTTGGCATTTTTTCATTGTGGTGCTTTTCCATGTCCCTGCTCTATCTCAAAACAACTTAAGATTTGTGTTTGGAGTTTTAGTTTTGTTTTGTGAGTAATAATGTAATGGAGATTGGACCCTGTGAAAAGAGAGCCAGTATCAGAGGCAAACCAATCTGTGTTAAAATGTCACATGAGGCTTAACAGAGGCGGAGCCAAGATGGCGGCGTGAGTAGAGCAGTGGAAATCTCCTCCCAAAAACACATAGAGCTATGAAAATATAACAAACAAAACTCTTCCTAAAATAGAGACCAGAGGACACAGGACAACATCCAGACCACATCCACACCTGCAAGAACCCAGCGCCTTGCAAAGGGGGTAAGATACAAGCCCCAGCCCGGCGGGACCCGAGCGCCCCT